CTTTTTCCTTTCTCTCTCTCTGTCTCTCTCTCTCTCTCTCTCTCTTCGCTATAATTATTCGAATAATTAGTAGATATTATTTATGAGTTCAATTTCTTTGGTATTTAGTAGATATTATTTAATAATTGGTAGGTATTATTTATGAGTTCAATTTCATTTTTCCATTAATATAAAATAAAAAGTATAAAAAAATAAGAATTATTGTAGCAAAATAATTCCATTTATCTTATTACAGTAAAAAAAGATAGATTTAGAAAAAATGTACAAACAATTATAATTCTTAATCGTTATCTTAACCAATGATCACTTTAGCTTCTTTGATTTATAGCATAAACAACAAAATTTATAAATAATAAATTTTGTTAATTTGAAAATAACCTTTAATTGAAACTTTTAATGTACCAAGAATAAGGAATAAAAATACCCACCACCCCCTCCTTTTTCATCATTCATCTAGTTTCCCATTCATTGTGTCATAATTCTCATGGATTATATTTTAGTTCACCTATCTCTCGGACCATCGATGATCCTCACAGATCATGGGATTACGAATTACAATAATAATGGAAGAGCAAATGTACTAAATTAAAAGGTATATTTAATGGAATGGAGCAAAAATCAAATTTTCGATGAAATCTATTATTTAATTCATGCTGTGTTTTGACCTAAATGTGTAATAATTGTAATTGTCAACGATGAATTTTACTTATTAAATTTGGGTAAAATTTCAAAAGGATGCATTTATCGCTTCTATTATGAATTTTAAAAATTCTCGAAAAATTAATGATCATAAAAAAAAAGTGAAGAATGTTGGATAATATATGAATGAATATTGAGGATGATAATATAACAATGATAGGCGAAAGTCTCGATGGAATAATAAATTCAGCAATTCATCCATATATTGAACGTTATGAATTTGTATTTTTGAGTATTTATTGCAAACTTTTAAAAAAAAAATGAAAGTTAAAAATCATCCTAATATCCTTTTTTTTTTTCAAAAATATATGACACTTTTTTGAGGGAAAAAAAACAAAAAGTTAATATTTACTAAAATTACATTGTATCAAAAAAAAAAAGAAAGAAAAATCAATAACCTATTAGAAGTTTTTGACGAAAATCAGCCAAATGTTCATTGATATCATCGAGTGATTTCTTTCGTGCTGCACTAAATATTTTTATCAATTGATCCAAATCATTATCTGTTGCTTGTATTGTTGCTGCTAATATCTAAACAAAATCGAAATTAAATCAATTTACAAACATTGAAATATTCAGTTAAAAAAAAATTCGAAAATTATTTAATTAAAAACAAAAAAAAAGAAAGAAAATGAAATAAACCTTATCAATGCTTTGAATCAATGACTGATCAATATTATCCCATGAAAGCGGAGAATTTGGTATCAAAAAGGTAGAAAAGATTTCATAGGCCCATTTTCGTAAATCTTTTGGAAGAGCATTTGAATTCTGATAAGCATCTGTTATCAGATGAAAAAACTGAAATTAAATCGTTTTATAAATGAATGATTATGGAAAAATCAAGCTAAAAATAAAGTTGAAATTTTTGTTATTTTTAAAAAATAATCAAAGAAAGTGATAAAAAAAATCATACTACACTGCTTGGATTGGCATTTGTTAAGAGATAGTTGATAAAAGCGGCCAAATGAGCGGGGCGTGTTTTGAGGTCAGCAAAATTCAAGAAGGGTCCCTGAGCTTCAAGCTGAAAATTAAAAAAAAAGAACCATTTAATAAATAAACAACAATTTATTGACAAACTGATAAAAATTTTGGAATAGGGAAAATTTGTAGAGGTAGAGATGATTAAAAAATTTACAACAAAATGATATAAACTCCAGAAAATATAAGAAAAAAAAAAAGGAAGAAACTGCACAAAATATGAAAAAAAAAACTAAATATTTAGCTCATTTAGTAAAAAAATTTTTAGAATTAAAATTTCAGCTTATTTCTAAGAATTTTTGATTAATTAATAATTTTGATCAAGAAGAGATAATACGCATTGCATATTATTTTATCGTATCAGCTTGTTCCAATAATATGTTTTTTTTTTTTGTTTTTTTTTTCAAACAGTTTTAAAATTTCTTTTAAAAAATTTGATCTGTTTAATTCTTGAAAATCAGGGAATTTGCAAATTTTAAACTACACACTCTCCCTATGATAGTTTGAAATTTCATCATTGTTTCATTTCTTAACCGAAATGAATTACATGTTAAGTAAAAAAAAAAACGTAAAGCATGAATATTGAAAAATGCTTCCAAATTAAAGCAGCTAACTAATGAAATTTCATTAATTAATACAATTTCTAATACAAATATTACAAGTATATCTAAGCTATAATTTACTATCAATTGCAAAATACCATTGCAATTGGCCAAATTAATATTATAGCTGAAGTATCAAAAATATGTTTAGAGCTTAATTAAAAGCTTAATGGAAGCAATTATTATTTTTTGTAGCAAAGAATTTGAGAATAGAGAAAAAAAAAAAGGGGAAAAAAAAGTAAAGGTGATAAATGAGAATAAAAGACAGGAAAGGTTTTTTATAATTTTGATAAAAATTTTAAATTAAATTTTAAAATGTTTAACATGCATGAATTATCACTATTTGATATGAATGAGAGAATTAACTGATGATAATTTAATTTAATGTGATAATGAATGATAAATTAGTAAATGAGTTAAAATAGCGTTAGATTCTAACATTAAATGGAATCTCAGATCCATCATCATCGGTTTCTTCTTCCATAGTAATAATATCCATCGGATGAACAAAATGCATACCACTATTTACCATCCATTTTTCCTGAATGTTATACGGAATTCTGGCAAAAGATAGAAATCATTGATGTAATAAAAAGGAAATAAGCAAAAAGAAAAAAAAAACAAATAAATAAATAAGAAATGAAAAGTTAAAAAGTGACAAGTATTTAATAGAAATGAAAAAAGAAGACAAACATTCTTTTAAAGTTTAATGTTCATCGAGAGAGAAAAAAGGGAGGGAGAAAGAGAGAGAGAGAGAGAAGAAAAAAAAAAAGAAACAAAACTTTCAAAGGTGAAAGTCACTCATTTAATGAGATGAATTCTAAATAATAAGATGAGAAAGAAAAAATGTCTTTTTAAAA